ATGCATATACATGCAGTGAAGCAAATATATATACATGCATAGGACAATATACATGCATATACATGCAGTGAAGCAAATATATATACATATACATGCATATACATGCAGTGAAGCAAATATATATACATGCATAGGCCAATATACATGCATATACATGCAGTGAAGCAAATATATATATATATACATGCATATACATGCAGTGAAGCAAATATATATACATGCATAGGCCAATATACATGCATATACATGCAGTAAAGCAAATATATATATATATATATATACATATATACATGCAGTGAAGCAAATATATATACATGCATAGGACAATATACATGCATATACATGCAGTGAAGCAAATATATATACATATACATGCATATACATGCATATACATGCAGTAAAGCAAATATATATATATATACATGCATATACATGCAGTGAAGCAAATATATATACATGCATAGGACAATATACATGCATATACATGCAGTGAAGCAAATATATATACATATACATGCATATACATGCAGTGAAGCAAATATATATACATATACATGCATATACATGCAGTGAAGCAAATATATATACATGCATAGGCCAATATACATGCATATACATGCAGTGAAGCAAATATATATATATATACATGCATATACATGCAGTGAAGCAAATATATATACATGCATAGGCCAATATACATACATATACATGCAGTGAAGCAAATATATATACATGCATAGGCCAACTTGGGCTCTACAAGAGTTTTGGACTTCAACTCCCACAATTCCTAACAGCCTACCGGCTGTTAGGAATTGTGGGAGTTGGTCCAAAACACCTGGAGGGAGGGCTCAAGTTTGCCGAAGCCTGATTTAGAGTCAGTCTAATCATCATCATCATCATCATCATCATCATCATCATCTATATAAATAAAAATGTAATGTTATCACCTCTCAACAAAAGTTTGCTCCAGGCACAGTCAGGCCATTGTATGCTAATCAAGGTGGTCAGTTGAAACATTCACACCTAGCTCCGGGCGTCCCCTGGGCAACGTCCTTGCAGGCGGCCAATTATCTCACACCAGAAGCGACTTGCAGTTTCTCAAGTCTCTCCTGACATGACAAAAAAAACCCTAGCTCCAGCAGACAAGAGTCCTTTGTCCCACCCTGGTCTTTCCACAGATATATAAACCCTTTTCCTAGTTCCAACAGACCTCACTACCAACAGAAAGGAGGAAACCATGAAAATGAACAAAATCTGGCTACTAATATTAAAAAAACTCTGAAATTGCAACAGCACAACAACAGAGAGGAAACAAGCAAGGACATCTAATCACCTCTCAACAAAGGATTGCTCCAGGCACTGCCAGGCAATAAAATGCTAATCAAGGTGATCAGTTGAAACATTCACACCTGGCTCCAGCAGACAAGAGTCCTTTGTCCCATCCTGGTCTTTCCACAGATATATAAACCCCATTTTCCTAGTTCCAACAGACCTCCCTACCTCTGAGGATGCTTGCCATAGATGCAGGTGAAACGTCAGGAGAGAATGCCTCTAGACCATGGCCATATAGCCCGAAAAAACCTACAACAACCCAATGTTTTAAATGTTTTATGATGTTCTTGGGCATCGAATCATTGCCTCTGTAAACTGCCCTGAGTCGCCTGAGGGCTGAGAAGGGCAGGATACAAATAGAGTAAATAAATGAATAAATTATGTGCAATTACTATAACAAAGTAATAACGAAATTCCGTTAGTCTTGTTAGAGTAACAATTTTTTCACTAACCACACTTTAGAAACACTTTAGAAATGAAATGCCAGTTTTGTAATGACTTTTGAACCATTTTTATGGAAACACCTGCAGATGCAGGCGAAATGTCAGGAGAAAATGCTGCTAGAACACTAACATACAGCCCGTAAGCCACATAGCACCCCAATAATAATGGTAAGAGTGGCAGATTGACACTCTGGGGGCCGGGGGTTTATTTGCCCCTTGGCCATGGAAACCCACTGGGTGACCTTAGCTGGGTCACACACTCTCAGCCTCGAGGAGATAGGGACAGATCTGGAAGGCACACAACCATAACAGTAATGTATGTGAAACTCCCGATGTCCTCATTCTGAAACCAGGCTAATAATTACTAATCTGGCTTAAGCCAAGATGATCTGGTTGGGAGGACTGGAGGGATCTGTTCTGGGGAAGCCCAGCCGGCGCAGAAACTACCATATGTGCAATTCACAGTTGACCACGATGGGAAAACTGTAAGCTATAATCTATAGGTGTGACTCCACTTGACATACGGCAGGCGCACCTTGCCTATGCTCTGCAGCAATCCCTGTGTGAATGGGCGCCGGAATGTCGTCTGACATCCCAGGAAAGGAGACTTTAAATCTCCACGATCTTGCTGCAATACATTGGGAGACAAGAGGGAAGTGCCTATTGCATTTCATAGAATCCTAGAATCAAGAGTTGGAAGAGACCTCCTGGGCCATCCTCCAGTCCAACCCCATTCTGCCAAGAAGCAGGAATATTGCATTCAAAGTGACATCGAGCTGCTATAGAATCCTAGAATCTTAGAATTGGAAGAGACCTCCTGTGCCATCCAGTCCAACCCCATTCTGCCAAGAAGCAGGAATATTGCATTCAAAACACCCCTGACAGATGGCCATCCAGCCTCTGTTTAAAAGCTCCAAAGAAGGAGCCTCCACCACACTCCGGGCAGAGAGTTCCACTGCTGAACGGCTCTCACAGTCAGGAAGTTCTTCCTCATGTTCAGATGGAATCTCCTCTCTTGTAGTTTGAAGCCATTGTTCCATTGCGTCCTAGTCTCCAGGAAGCAGAAAACAAGCTTGCTCCCTCCTCCCTGTGGCTTCCTCTCACATATTTATACATGGCTCTCATCATGTCTCCTCTCAGCCTTCTCTTCTTCAGGCTAAACATGCCCAGCTCCTTAAGCCGCTCCTCATAGGGCTTGTTCTCCAGACCCTTGATCATTTTAGTCACCCTCCTCTGGACACATTCCAGCTTGTCAATATCTCTCTTGAATTGTGGTGCCCAGAATTGGACACAATATTCCAGGTAAAGTGGTCTAACCAAGGCGGAATAGAGCATGGGGAGCATGACTTCCCTGGATCTAGACACTAGGCTCCTCTTGATGCAGGCCAAAATCCCATTGGCTTTTTTTGCCGCCACATCACATTCCTGGCTCATGTTTAACTTGTTTTCCACGAGGACTCCAAGATCTTTTTCACACACATCAGACCTTCGGAGCCCCTTTTCCTGCTTTCTTTGAATCAAGAGTGGGAATATCAGGGGAAAAGACCCCTCTCCCATGCCTCAAGCCTGCTTCACCTTCGCATCCCCCATTGAAAGGATTGTCACTTTCAAGCACCCATGGTGTACTCTGGGCTAACTCTGGCTTTAGCCTATAAAGGCCTAAACGGTTCTGGCCCAAGTTACCTGTCCGAACGCATCTCCTCCTATGAACCAGCTAGGACGTTAAGATCGTCTGGGGAGGCCCTGCTCTCGGTCCTGCCTTCGTCACAAGTACGTTTGGCGGGGATGAGAGACAGGGTCTTCTCAGTGGTGGCCCCTCGGCTGTGGAACACCCTTCCTACAGAAATCAGATCGGCCCCCTCCCTGTTAGCATCTCGGAGGAAAGTGAAGACCTGGTTGTTCGAGCGGGCATTTGAATAGGCAGTGTAACGAATATCGGAATATGGAACAATTGGATGATGAGACTGGATCTCGATTCTCCTTATGAGATGCTAATGAGATGTCATAGGATGTTTAATTGATTGTTTATCATGCTATTGTTTTAATGGTTTTGAACTGTTTTTATGGTGTTCTGAGCATTGAATTTTGCTATTGTTAACCACTTTGAGTCACCCCAGAGCTGAGAAAAGCGGTATATAAATAAATAAATAAACTCCATTGTGCCCACTGGAGCCCAATCATTAAGCCAGTGAGAGCCGTTCAGCAGTGGAACTCTCTGCCCCGGAGTGTGGTGGAGGCTCCTTCTTTGGAAGCTTTTAAACAGGGGCTGGATGGCCATCTGTCAGGGGTGATTTGAATGCAATATTCCTGCTTCTTGGCAGAATGGGGTTGGACTGGATGGCCCAGGAGGTCTCTTCCAACTCTAGGATTCTAGGATTCTATGATTCTATGGTTCTCAACCTGGGCTCCCCAGATGTTTTTGGCCTACAACTCCCAGGAATCCCAGCCAGTTTACCAGCTGTTAGGATTCTGGGAACTGAAGGCTGAAAACACCTGGGGACCCCAAGTTGAGAACCACTGACATAGAGCAAGGATCCTCCACAGTTTGGATGGAGCTTCTCATGGACTATCCTCTCTCTCTCTCTCTCTCTCTCTCTCTCTAGCACCCTCTGGTGGCCTCCGCCCAGATAAACAACTATACCCTTTATTTTTGTTTGTTGGTTTGTACGTTTATATCTACGTTTTGCATCGATTTGTTTAAATAATAATTAACTATACAGATATAAACAAGGGAAGCAAGGTTCAACCAATGCAGTTTTGCCCCCCCCCAACACCCCACACCCCCCCCCCCCCCCGCTATTTGAGAGCATCAGCATGAGCAGAGCCTTCCCTCCAGCGGCAGCTCTTTTATTAGAAATGCAGGTACAAAAAGGAGACCCCCCCCATCCCAGAGGCCGCGGGGCAGCGGCAGCTCTGCACACAGCCTGGGCAAGCAAGTCTTCTGGGGGGAGGGGGGAGGGGGCACAGTTTCTGGGCTCCGGCCAGTCCAGGGGCTCCAGACACCCTCTTTTGTTTGTGCTCCAGTGGAGCCCATCAGTCCAGGCGGCCCCCCAATGCAGTTCCTTTGGAGAAGGGGGGAGGGCCTTTTCCGAGTGCCAGGGTGGTCCCTCTCTGTCTCTGGAGGGGCCTTTGGGGCGCCCAGCCCTCCTCCTCCTCCTCCTGTTCCTTTGGGTGGCCCCTTCTTCCTTCCTTCCTTCCTCCCTCCCTCCCTTCTTTGTCGGTCCACCTGGCCTCCCTCCTTCTGGCCCTTTTCCCGGCCTTCCTCCTGTGGCCCCTCAATCAATTCACTTCCGGGGCCGGGAGATGATGGAGGCGGCGCTGGGGGCGAAGGAGGTGGAGAAGCTGAAGGGGGCGCGGGGGCGCATGTTGCGCCCGGAGGTGATGAGGGCCCCGAAGCCGTGCTGGTGCGAGAAGGCGTACCCCGAGCGGCGGGAGGAGCCGCGCCTCATGCGGAACTTGGGCGAGGGCGGCGGCAGGCGGCGCAGGAACCGGATCCGGGCCAGCACCTGGAGGAGGGGGGGGGAGAAGAAGGCCTTTCAGGGGTGGGGGTGCACACACACCACCAGCACAAAGCAGCAGCACCCAGGCATTCAATCAGAGGGACCCGGCGTTCCCTATCATCTAGGGCAGGGGTCCTCAAACTATGGCCCGCGGGCCGGATGTGGCCCTCCAAGGTCATTTACCCGGCCCTCACTCAGGGTCAACCTAAGTCTGAAATGACTTGAAAGCACACAACAACAACAACAATCCTATCTCATCAGCCAAAAGCAGGCCCACACTTCCCACTGAAATACTAATAAGTTTATATTTGTTAAAATTGTCCTTCATTTTAATTATTGTATTGTTTTAAAGTGTATGGTGCTGATATTTTAATCGTGTAATGAAGTGGCATTGTGTTGTTATTGTATATTTTTTGTATGTTAACACATGTTGTGAACCGGTCCGAATCCCTCTTTGAAGGTGAGAAGGTCGGTATATAAAACCTCGAAATAAATAAATAATAAATTATATTTGTTAAAATTGTTCTTAATTTTAATTATTGTATTGTATTTAAGTGTTTTTTGCACTACTAATAAGATATGTCCAGTGTGCATAGGAATTCATTCATGTTTTTCCCCCCAAATTATAATCCGGCCCTCCAACAGTTTGAGGGGCTGTGGCCTGGCCCTCGGTTTCAAAGCTCTACGGGATGCTTGAGATCAGGCCTGGGCCAACTTGGGCCCTCCCTCCAGGTGTTTGGACTTCAGCTCCCACCATTCCTAACAGTGGTTGAGGGGGGAAAGGAAGGGGCCAAAGCACCTGGGGGGGGGGGCCCAAGATTGCCCGTGCCTGCTTTAGAGAGTAGTCATCACTTCTATTCGAGTGAGGCCCACTGGACAAGAACTCAAGAGTGGGTCTGAAGGGTCCATACTTGGGCCAGCACCTGCACGCATGGATACACAACGGGGGGAAGGGATGAGCAGCAGAAGAGCCCCCCCCCCAGGAACCCTCCAAAGGCTGGGCAGGTGCTGCCCTTTCAACCTTGGCCCCAGGGACATCGCAAGGTCAAGAGAAACTCTTTCAGTTTTGGAGTCTGGGAAAGCCTTGTATTGATGCGTGGGAAAGTGCTGCCTCATTCAGGTCAACGTTTGAAATTGATCATGGTCTTGCTTTCCAGTGCTCTCAGTGTCATGTACCAAGTTCTTGTCAAGCTCCCGCTTTGTCTATGGGATTCTTCCTGCTGTCTACTTTCATGGTTTCAAGTGTCTCACTCCATGGATTTTTATGTACTTTTGGATTTGGTTTTCCTTTGAGGATTGGGACTCCTTTACTTGTATTGGATTTTTACAGTGTTGCTATTGGGTTGTTGTGGGTTTTTTCGGGCTGTATGGTCAAGTTCTAGAGGCATTCTCTCCTGACATTTCACCTGCATCTATGGCAAGCATCTTCAGAGGTTGTGAGCTCATAACCTCACAACCTCTGAGGATGCTTGCCATAGATGCAGGCAAAACGTCAGGAGAGAATGCTTCTAGTATATGGCCATACAGCCCGAAAAAAACTACAACAATCGAGTGATTCCGGCTATGAAAGCCCTCAACAATACAGTGTTGCTATTTTTACTGCTTTTCCTACCTATATTCTTCAGCAAACTGCTTGCTGAATTGACCAAGCTGGTGTGGTGTTGAAGGCTGGTCAGGTGGTGATCCCTGACTGACTGCCCTAGCCCTGGTCCCAGGGACACTGAGTGCACGTCGGCACATCACAGAGCCACCCAGCACAATCAGCACTGGCAAGACTGGCTGCCAAACAAAGGCGGGTGGCTTTTTCCTTTTACGAAGTACAGCTGAAGCATTTGCAGACAGGTTCATGGAAATGCCCAATACCGCCACTAGGGAGCAGGCTACACACATATGTTTTCCAATCTACGCACCCCCATTCAGTTAGGTCGCCCACAGTTTGAGAAGCTTTGGACCAGATGACCTTTGGTTCCCTTCCATCTCCATGGTGATTTTAAGCAGAGGCCAGGTGGCCATCTGTTGGGAGGGCTTGGGTTGTATCCTGTCCTGTATGGTGGGCATTGGACTGCATGTCCCTGGGGGTCCGTCCCCCCCCCCCCGACTCTTACTATCCTATGGATGCCCCTGGGAAGAAAGGCAACCGCACATCTCTCCTGCCTTGTTCTGCAATCCCTGTTGTGGTATGTATGTGTGTGTGGGAGGGGTCTCCCCCCTGGAGCCCAGGGCTTGCCTACAGAGACATGGGCGGGGCCGACCTACCTTGTCGCTGATGGTGGGCCGGAGCTGCATCTTGAGGAAGCGGAACCCGACCACGGGGAGGACGCAGAGGGCCACGCACAGCCCCACCGAGAGCCACACGGCCGGCTGGTTCAGCGTGTTCCGGGCCGTCCCTGCAGAGGGCAAAGGGCAAAGGGCATGGGGCCCTTGCAACCCAGAGAGTGCTGTGCAGCGGGGGGGGGGGGGTTCCCACTCAAAAGGGTGTTGATCCGCAGCCTGGGAAAGAAAGGGGGCTCCCCTGCCCCCCCCCCCCCCCCGATGATGTATACATACCCACAAAAGGGAAGGAGCCCGTGAGGATGAGGTACATGCCGTCGCTGTACATGGTGAAGGTGATGGCAAAGTAGATGGCCAGGCTGCCCCAGATGAAGAGCTGGTTGATGACCGTCCAGTAGGCTGTGTCCAGCCCCATCTGCAGGAGGAGGAAGGGTCAAAGGCAATGGTCAGCACCACTGGGCCACCCCCACCTGTTGGGGTTCAGCCTGATCTGTGTGAACCTGAGCCCCAATCTCTGTGTGAACCTGATTCTCTGATAGTATTTCCAACTGAGCAAGCCACTGAACGTAGTTTTCCCTGACAATGTGGAAACTGGTGTTGATGCTGAGTTCAGCGGCGGGGAAAGCGAAACTGAACAGCCGGATGAAAATGTTTTGGAATCCAGCCGTGATAGCTCTCCACCTGGGTTTTTTAATGAGGACCGAAGGGAACAGATAACGAGAGACAGGAGTGATTCACAGTTCCTACGAAGGTCAAATAGATTACAGGAGAGACAGGCTCAGGCTTCAAAGTCAAGGGGCGTTTCAAGGAATAGTTTCTTTGGCTTAAGGGGCCTCCTTCCGGGTGTCTCGTTAGATCAAGCAACGTTTGGGACTGTGGCTGTGCCTTGGCAGAATTCCTGTGTTCCATGGCCGGTAATCCCAGAGGCTTCTAGTTTTCAAGCACATGGTTAGTGAGAGGCTAACAGGTTCCTGGTTCTTGTATTGTGGTTTTTGGAATTTTGCTCAAGTCTCAGAGATTTTCCTGACTGCTGTGTTTCTATTGTGGCTCTTTGACTTTGCATTTACCTTTCTTTTGTAACCAATTTTTCATCAATAAAAAAGGATTGTTTTCCCTACAGTCCAGTGTGGTGGATTTAATCTTATGGTCTCGTTTCCTGATCTGGGATGCAACACCACCCCCCTTCCAGGGAGTGGTGCCCCTCACTTGCTGTATGTCTCACCCCCTCCCCAGCCCCTCCATTCCACACAACAAGAACAAGCCCCGTGTGGACAGGCAAGAGGACATCCACTGGGCTGTGAGGACGACACTGTGGCCGCAGTTTATCTTTGGATCCACGGAGCGGAGAAGGGGGTGGGTGCCATGGGGCTCGTCAACATCTTTATCAATGACTTGGGATGATGGAATTGAGGCCAAATTGGGAGAGACTGGTTAAGACTCCAGAGGACAGGATCAGCCTCCAAAATGACCTTCACAGATTAGGGAGCAGATGGGCCAAAACTAACAAAATGGACTTCAACAGGGAAAACTATACAGTACTACACATAAGCAGAAAAAATGAAATGTATTGTCGAAGACTTTCATGGCTGGAATCACTGGGTTGCTGTGAGTTTTCCAGACTGCCTGGCCATATTCCAGCAGCATTCTCTCCTGAGGCCCTTTCCTCTTCCCCCTCAGTTGCTTAAGCAGGAAAGGAGAAGAAAAGGAATGGAACTGAGGGCAGGGATTGTGGGAGTTGAAGTCCAAAACACCTGGAGAGAGGGCCGAAGTTGGTTGTGCTAGGGGGAGGAGGGCCCTCACCTGGACGGAGACCACAATGAGGAGGCAGGTCTGAGCCACGACGGCGAAGGACTGGTAGTCGGCAATGGAGCGCCCGTCGGTGCGCAGGGAGTTGGAGACGGCGCCAAAGGGCACGAAGAAGAGCACCAGGGAGCTGTAGACGCTGTAGAGCGTGCACTTGGCAAACTCCCGCTTGTTGAAGAACAGGTTGCGCTGCCCGGGGATGTACAGCTGCGGGAACTGCATGCTCCAGCAGTCGTCCACGTCCTGCAGAGGTGGCCGCAGAAGAGGGAGGAAGGGGCGGTCAATGGCACAGGGCACAAGGGGCCGACCTCCCTCCTGCAGAACCCACCATTCCTGTCCTTTGAACTCTAGGTCTCTCTGTGTCTACCGGCAGGACAAGAGCCAAAGTGGTGCAACCGTTTGGGTTCCGGACTATGGCCCTAAAAAGCCAGGGTTTGAATCCCTGTTTGGCTTTGGAAACCAGCTGGGTGGCCTTGGGCAAGTCACACTCTCTCAGCCTCAGGGGAGGGCCATGGGACAAACCCCCTCTGAGCAAACCTTTCAGAGAAAACCCCAGAAATGACACGAAAGCACCGAAAAACAGGGAAGCATTGGACCCCAGGTCTCTTGGAGATCCCCTTCAGTGGGTTCCTGAGGCCTGCTGCCACTGAAATGTCTGCCTGGGGGGCTGTTGGGGTGATAGAGAGAGGGAGGGGCCCATGTAGGGACCCCAGCCCACACCCAGGGCCAGGCGCAGGGCGAAGGCAAGGCTTACCTGGTCAAAGAGGCTCATGCCCAGGACGGGCAACGAGGTGTACACCATGTTGTAGAGGGTGATGAACCACTCGTCGTACACCGTCTGCAACGAAGGGAAGGGTCAAGGGGGGTGAAAGGGGTGCAGGAGGGGGCCCAAGCAAAGGCCTGGACCCTTCTTCCTTTGCAGGGGTTTCCACACTTCTGCCTGAGACCCATTCATGCCAGCCAGGCCCACTTTAGCTCAATGCAATGGAATCCTGGGAGTTGCAGTTTGGTGAAGCCCCAGTGCTCTTCTGCAGAGAAGACAACAACTCCCAAGAAACCATAGCATTGCACCACACGTTAAAGGTGTGTCAAACTACATTCATCCTATAATATAATTCCCGCCAGGTGTTTTGGACTCCAACTCCCAGCATTCCTCACAGCCTCAGGCCCCTTCCTTTCCCCCCTCAGCCGCTTAAGCGGCTGAGGGGGGAAAGGAAAGGGCCTGAGGCTGTTAGGAATGGTGGGAGTTGGAGTCCAAAACCCCTGAAGGCCCAAGTTTGCCTCTGCCTTCCCCTCATTGGCCACTCTTGGCAATTTGAGGAGAGAGTCAGCAGGGGGCAGCACCATCCCACAACAAAGTGATGCAAGAGAGAAAGAAGCCTTTCACCGCCTGGTTCTCCACATCTGTGGGGAATACATTCCTTTGCATGGAGAGGCAAAACCCCAGATAGTGGCAAACCCCACTGGAAAGAAGGACTTTTCAAGAACGCCATAACCAGTCACACTGAGGGACCTGGGAAAATTACCATATGTGCGATTCACAGGGACCACGATGGGGAACATAGTTTAGATCAAAGAAACCATGGACACGATCGAAATGACGGACTTCTGGACCCCAAATAACAGAGTGGAGTGGAAAGACCCAGAAAATGCCCAGTGGACATAGTTAGTTGGATGTCCCTATTTTTTGTCAGCCCGCTCTGCAGTGCATTTTTACGAGGAGGCTGACACCTTGGTTTCCTTTCAGGGAATTCAAATCCTAACAGGTTTGGCACCTGGCCAGTCGCCAGAGAGATTTCCCAGTAGAGGAGGGGGCCCCACACGCAGGTCACCTGGGCCCAGAAGAGGCTCCTGGAGTGGGAAGAGGGGGGGAAGGGGTCACGGGCCCTACCTGGGCAGAGAATCCGGAGAAGAATCCGTACCAGAAGTGGACCAGGGTGAAGGTGAAGTTCTTGTAGAAGAAGTAGGAGAGGAACTTGCACATGCGCAGGTAGGACCACCTCCCGTGGACCAGGAGCAGCCGCTGCAGGTAGCGGAACTGGGCAAAGGAGAAGTCGCTGGACAGCACCGCCTGCATGCCCTCCTGGCCGCTGATGCCCACCCCAATGTGGGCCGCTGGGGGGGGGGGGGAGAAAGAGACCGGAGAGAGGGGTCAATGGATGCAAAAGTCCCCCCAGCCCCTCTGGGCCCCCCTTCTGACCCAGAAAAGGCACAGCATGTATGGCGCACATCCCCAAGGAAGGCACATGGTTCCCGGACTGTATGAGCTCCCTGCAAATAACTTGCTCCTATTCTTATCTCATTCCAGTTTTTTAACATTTTATCCTGCACATGTGGCCTGCCCACTGTCACTGTGATTGTGTTTATTGTAATGTTATTTTGTTACTGTGTTCATGTTTTTTCAGTGTAATTTTGACGCTGTTGCTTGTTGCTTATGTTTTGGTTTTAAAAGGTAAAGGTTGTCCCCTGACATTAAGTCCAGCCATGTCTGACTCTGGGGTGTGGTGCTCATCTCCATTTCTAAGCCGAAGAGCCGGCGTTGTCCGTAGACACCTCCAAGGTCATGTGGCCGGCATGACTGCATGGAGCGCCATTACCTTCCCGCCAGAGCAGTAAATATTGATCTACTCACATTTGCATGTTTTCGAACTGCTAGGTTGGCAGAAGCTGGGGCTGACAGCGGAAGCTCACGCTGCTCCCCAGAATCGAACCTGTGACCTTTCGGTTTTAGCTTGCTGTAATATGTTGTCTGGGCTTGGCCTCATGTAAGCCGCACCGAGTCCCCGTTGGGGAGATAGTGGCGGGGTATAAATAAAGCTGATGATGATGATGATGATGATGATGATGATGATGATGGCTAACCTGTTCTGGCAGCATTTTTGTTTGATAGATAATGCAGTGTTAGACAGGAATGCATTGGCTGTAGCCCAGAGTTCTCAACCTGTGGCTCCCCAGGTGTTTCGGCCTTCAACTGCCAGAAATCCTAAGAGCTGGCATGCCAGAAGATCTTAACAACCTTGATGGTTCATAGGGGAGAATCCATTCGGACAGGTAAACTGGAGTCGTTTAGGGATTTGGGTCTTTCACTTCACTTTATTTCTTAATTAGTGGCTCTCCACCCAGGTGCTCTGAGCAACTTACAATCTAAAATAGCATTTACACAATATAAAAACATTCAACATAAAAACATTCAACAGTGACTATTTAGCAAATTAGATCTGATCACTTTACTTAAATGACTTTGGCAAAATTGGTTCTCCCCCCCCCCCCCCCCCCCCCCCCCGAGCCCATGGACTCACTCTTGATCATGCTGACGTCGTTGGCCCCGTCCCCGATGGCCAGGGTGATGGCCTCCTTGTGCTTCTTGATCAGGCCCACCACCTGCGCCTTCTGCAGGGGGGTCACCCGGCAGCAGATCACCGTTTTGCACAGGCAGGCCGTCCGCACCAGCTCCCGCTCCAGGGCCCCGTCCAGCGCATGCGCCTGCACCAGGACACGCAAGGCAGGGAGAATAAGAATCATCATAGTAATAACAATAACAACAACAACAACAACAAGAAGAAGAATAATACTATTGTGTTGCTAAAGGCTTTCATGGCTGGGATCACTGGGTTGATTTGAGTTTTCTTGGGCTGTATGGCCATGTCCCAGCAGCATTCTCTCCTGAAATTTTGCCTGCATCTGTGGCTCATGTTATATTCAGAGGTCTGGTGCTAGTGAGGCAAGTGGAATGTACCTATTCCACATTGGACATGATTTTATCTTGGCGAACGGCTTTCAAGTAATTTATCCTATATTTATTTGTTATTTTACTGCCAATGTATGATGCTTTAGATTTTTACTGTTAGCATTGAACCCTTGCTGTCAGCCGGACTGAGTCCCTCTACGGAGGTAGAGAAGATCAGGATATAAAAGTTTTAAATAAATAAATAAATAAATCCCTGTGGCATAATGTCCAGGGTTGGAGAAAGAACCCTTGTCTATTTGAAACAAGTTTGAATGTTGCAATTAGGCAGCTTGATTAGCATTGAGCAGCCTTGCAGCTGCAAAGTTAATCAGCAAGGGCATCTGCATAGAGGTAGCCTGGCTGTTGTGCCTGGAGGCGTCCTCAGCTCGAGGCAGGTGGGTCACAGCACAGTCACAACACAGCCTCCCTTCCTCCTCCTCCTCCTCCTCCTCTTCCTTCTGCCTTACCAGGCTGTACCCGTTGATGACCAGTCCGTACTCCCCGTTGGGCTCTTCGTCCAGCAAGACCCTCTGGCTGCCCTGCTTCTGGGGCTGAACCTCCGCCTCGGCATCCTCCGCAAAGGCTTCCGGCTGCATTTTCTTCCTGGCGTTCCTAAGAGGAGGGCAGAGGGGCTTAGCAGGGGCCCTTGGAGCCCCTTCGGGCACCGGAGAGGCTTCATGGGACCAAACCGATGACCTGCCCTCCCCAGCAGCAATGGGACCGTTCTTCACATTCCTCCCTGTCAGGAGTCAATTTCTGACGGCATGAAGACATCACAAATTCCCTTCGTGATATCCTGACTGAATCATCCTGACTGCCTCAGTTTTCTCTCTGTGACATTTTGAAGCCAGCAAAGGGTGCTGGAAACCTTGTATGGGAACTTGTGAAGCAACAAGTTCTAATAAGGAAACTGAGAAGAGGGGGAGATGGGCAGCAAAGGTGTCTAAAAGGAAGTGGTGGTGGGGAAAAGTCAGTAGCGTCTTTCTTTGCTGCAGAGATACAAGCAATATATTCATTTCAAAGCAAAACCGGCTTGTGAGTGATCATTTAATATTGCTATATAAAATACTTACACTCCCCCTCCCACACATCCTTCCATCTCCCTAAAAGTCCCTCAGCACAAAGGGGAGCAGCAGAGGCAAACAGCAGCCCCAGGGGACGGACGCCACTCTGTACTTGGTGCCCAGTTGCTATCCGGAGGCTCCATGCGCCACTTTGGCTGCCGAATGGCCGCTGCCCCTGGAAGAAGGCCAGTACCGGGGAGGGGACGGGGAGGGGCTCGAGGTTCCTGGTCATTGTTCTGAGTTTTAATGTTGTTTTTGTATGTTATTGATTTCACTTCTTTGTATTGTGCTGTTTGTTTATTTCGTTTGTTGCTTTCAGGCACTTTGTGTCATATGTAAGTTGCCCCGAGTCCCTTCGGGGAGATGGAGGCGGGTACAAAAATAAAGATATTTATCTACTAGGGCTGGGCGGTTTCGTTTCGTTAATTCGTAATTCGTTAATAATTCGTTAATTTTTTTAATTACAAAACGATAACGAACCATTCTGGAGCAATTTTTTAAAAACGAATTTTTAAATACGTTTTGTAAATGCTTCGTATTTCGTTATTGTATTCGTTTCGTTATTGTTTGAGGTCGTTTCGTTATTATTTCCGCATGTCTGGGCCAGTTTTATGGTTTAATTAGTGAAAAAAAATTATAATATCACACCAACAGTCAACAACAGAGGGAGAGGGAAGCTTCAGAAGGTTTTGGAGGTTTTTTAGTGTATTTCGCGGTCGCGTCCGCCATTAACGAATCGATTCGTTATTGTTTCGGAAATCGATTCGTTAATTTTTTTTTACCATTTACGAAATTTCGTAAATATCGAACTTTTTAAAAGGAAAATTTTGTAATTATTTTAAATAACGAAACGCAAAAAAACCCAAAAAACGAATCGATTTTAGAAACAAATTTTTCCGTTGTTACCCAGGCCTATTATCTACAACAACCCAATAAAGATATTATCAAAGTTATTATTATTGCTCACAGCGGTGCTGGACCTCTCCTTGACCCATGGGTGCCACACTTTCTTTCTTTTTTACAAAATATCTTTATTCAATATAATAATATATTTTTTAAAAAGATGGGAGGGGTGTGCAAAGGTGTGGGAACATGGGGTAAAGGGGGGGGAGGGAAGTGAGTCCAAAACACACACAAAAAAAGAGAAAGAAAGAAAAAGAAAAAAATACAAAAAAATATACAGAATTATAAATAAATAAATGGATAAAAACGGACTTCCATTCTATTTTCAGGCTGTTTATAGTCCCCTTATATAAAGTTCTCCCTGAATTTATCCAGGGGTGTGCCCATCCCCGATTGTCATCCTTCCCTGTCTAATTAGCCCGTCAATGTCTTTCTATTTCTTTAGTAGACTTTATGTCCGGGTGCCACACTTTCGACTTTTGCCTGTTTGTGTTTTAATGTAAGTGTTTATGGTTGCATTAAAATGACGTTTCAATGTGTGATTTTAATGTCTTTTCCTATGTTGTGCCTTGCCTCAACCCAAAACGAGAGGCAGATAAAATGAATAAATGATGATGATGGCTCTGTGCATGCAAGTCACCAAGGGGATTCTGAAGCCAAAATACAATAAGGTGCTCAAGAGCTGCCAGGCCGAAAAGGCAAAGAACGTGGAGGCAATATGGCAGCACCTTCCTCGCAGATGCGTTTGGCGGGGGCAAAATTTATTTATTTATTTATTTATTTGGGGTTCTTGTACCCCGCCCTTCTCACCCCGAAGGGGACCCAGGGCGGCTTACAGCTGCAAGGCGCACTTAGACGCCTGCCACACAAACAATCATCACAAAAGTACAACAATACAAGTTCCAACAATTCAGCCATTATCCCAATAAAATCAATAAAATGATAAAATCAATAAAACAATACAAACCTAGTTCTTCCTCCTACCCATCAGTGTACACTAACTCAAAGATCTGTTTTTGATTCCACTTCGACAATCCTGCTGATCTTACACATCTGATTGTCTTATTTAGTTGTCTTATTTAATTGCCTGGTTGCCCAAAGGCCTGGTTCCACAACCATGTCTTCACCCTCCTCCTGAAGGAGAGGAGGGTTGGTGATGTTCTGATTTCCCCCGGGAGTGAGTTCCACAGGTGGGGGGCCACCACTGAGAAGGCCCTGCTTCTCGTCCCCACCAGTCTCACTTGTGAGAGTGGTGGGGTCGAGAGCAGGGCCTCCCCAGATGATCTCAAACTCTGAGGTGGGACGTAAAGGGAGATACGTTCGGACAGATACACTGGACCAGAACCGTATAGGGTTTTGTAGGTTAAAACCAGCACCTTGAATTGTGCTCGGAATTGAATCGGCAGCCAGTGGAGCTGGCATAACAGGGGGGTGGTATGCTCCCTGTATGTCGCTCCGGTGAGCAATCTGGCTGCCGCTCGCTGGAAAGACAGGGCCTTCTCAGCGGTGGCCCCTCGACTGTGGAATGCCCTTTCTAAAGATATAAGATTGGCTCCTTCCCTCTTGAAGGAGCCTTTCAAAGAAAGTGGAAACCTGGCTTTTGAGTAGGCCTTCCCAAATACGGCATAGTTATATGAAATAATGGAACGACAATGTTTTCAGGCATGTACAGTTTTATATTTTTATATTTTATGTTAATGTTTTTAATAGTATTTTATGATTGGCATGCTTTTAATTGTTATGACCGTTGAGGCATCAAATTGTTGCCATTTGTAAACCGCTCTGAATTGTCTCTGGGCTGAGAGGTATATAAATATGGTAAATAAATAAGTAAATAATGTCACTCAGCTTTACTCTATTAGCCAGTTTTCTTTCCATCAATGCCAATCATTGATTCCAGGTGAGTCACTGCTTACGAGCCTTCAAGGCACCCGTTGCCTTTTGGGACCCCAATCCATATCAGGGGGATTTCTATGGCCAGGAACACTCAGAGAAGCGTAGCCCATGTGACCTGGGGCCCTTGAACACACCTGAGCTCCTTCTGCACTTCATCTGCGGTTTTGCCTTGGATGATGAAGATGTCCGTCATGGCGTCGTAGAGCATGTTGCAGGAGTAGCCGATGTTCACCGCCGTCTCTGGACAGGAAGAGGGAGAAAGAGACATTTAGGGGGTACAGAATGAACCATCCCCAAACCATCCAGGGGGAGGGACAACGCATCAGTGGTGCATATCTTCTATCTTTAGAAATTCCCTTGCACAAAAACCCAGACAGAAAGTATATGCTGGTATTTTGTGCAACTTGCACTGATTCTTGTGCAAAAAATGCAACTTTCTGTGCAGAAAACACCATGAGGAATATTCACCATGAGGAATATTTCTTTTCTGCATAGGAATCCACATCTCAAAACAACCATGAACATTTTATAAAAATTACACACCTTTTGAAACCTTTTGAAGAAAAGCCTGGACTCCTGCACAGAAAAATTGCATGTACACCCGAGCAACGAAGGGCTGCCCGATATCCCTCCCTGCTGCCGTACCTTGCTTGTCGCCTGTCAGCACCCAGATCTTGATATGGGCGCGGCCCAGAATCTCGATGGTCTGGGGGACCCCGTCCTGCAGCTTGTCTTCAATAGCCGTGGCCCCCAGGAGCTGCAGCACACGGAAAGAGAGGGCAGGGAAAGTCCATGTTCAAATGGGATCCAGCCATTTGTAAGCAGCTAGCCTACAGCTCTGGGTGCTGGACCACGAGCCTCGAGACCTGGGTCCAGGTCCCTCCCTGTTTGGCCACCTCAGGATAGGAGCTCTGGAGTGGACCCCTGACCAAGAGGAAGAGATGCTCTTGGAGGGGCCAAGGAGGGCGGGGGGGGGGGGCAGCCTACTTCAGAGGGGAGAGGTGTGTGCTCCAAATGGCCAAAAGCCAATCAAACACTGGAGATCCTTCAATAGGTTTATTTGGTCAAATCACCCTGCTGGGTGAACAAGAAAAGCGCCACACATGAATTGAGACACATCTCGATTTTATGGTCAAAACCTTGAGTGTGTGCACAGGCCATTTCCTCCGATGCACGCCTCATCTCTATCTCTTCCTTTTGTCCTTTCTGGCACTAGCTCTTGTCAGTATTCCTCAGCAGCCGGTTCCCCTTCTGCTTGTTACTAGGCATTTCCCTTCTGAACTTTCCCTTTCCCTGAACTCTCCGCTCCAGGCCCTCCTACTTCCTTCACTTGCAGACTCACTTAATTAGCTGCAAAAGGCATGCTATTTGCAGCCTTATTTCTTGCTTTGCAGCTCAGGCCCCTTTTGCTCCTGAGTCACCCGGGCGCACCAACATTGAAATATCCTTAAGATTCTCTCCTTTTCGCCACCCAATCTAATATTATTACTAAGAGGCTACACAAGTTCATATTTTTCTGAGTAACCTTAACAGGTTATTATAACGAAAGCCCCAATAACCCCGTTTCAAAGTGGGATAGACGAAACCAATTTTGGTGTACGGATTATTACATGGGTAATCTTAGAACCAGTTTGAGGCCTGGACAGTGATTGCATAAGCAGTAGATGAAGGTGGACTCAAATGGGTTCCAGGATACACACTATCAGCCGCTTCACAGCCATGGAGAATGTGGACGTGCGCATCAGCAGAGTGCTTTGGATTTCTGCACAGCAAGTCGCATGCTGCGGAGTGATGTGGTTTAGACATGCTAATGCACATTTGGGGCTTTAGAATCCTAGAATCCTAGAGTTGGAAGAAACCTCCTGGGCCATCCTCCAGTCCAACCCCATTCTGCCAAGAAGCAGGAATATTGCATTCAAAGCACCCCTGACAGATGGCCATCTAGCCTCTGTCTTTATTTCAGGCTTCCCGCCAACTTTGCTTATCTTGATTTAAGGCCTAAATGGCCAGTGTGGATGTGGCCCTTGCCTGTACTCTGCCCTGGACCGTGCCTTTCCCCACAACAAGGATGGGTAGCCACAGAGTCCAGTGCTTTCCTCCCTCAGGGCCTATTGTGGTGGCCCCCCGCATCAGGTCCTTCGGGAGATGCTAGCGGGGTGCAAATAAAGATAATAATAATAATAATAATAATAATAATAATAACAACAACAACAATACTGGCAGCCAGGCACAAAGCGTTAGGTAACCTTGGCCAGAGAAATACATTTGGGGCACCCAACCCTTCCCTTACTCCAGCTTCCATCATCCCTGGTCCAGCTCCAGGTTTAAATGCTATAGCTCAAGAGCTTTAGGGTCAGGGCCCTGAAAGGGAAGCCTCCCGGCTGTGACCCTGCCTGTTTGTCTTTCGAGAACGGCTTTTTCAGGTCTAAGCTTGGACCGTGTAACCTCAAGAATGATTGCAAATGGGATGGCTGCCTGGTTTAATTTTTCATCCAAGAGGAGTCCTCTTGATTTTTGTCCGTTTGGGATCGTTGGGAGGTGCAATCAGGGCAAATCCAGCCACCTCAGGGTGAATGGGTGGGAGATATGGACACTGCCTGCTGGTTTGCCAGCCGAGGGTCTTTGGTGGTCCTGTGGCCCCTGAGGCCCAGCTGTCAGAGGCTCAGCCTGACCCGTCCTTTGCTACCTGATTTGCTGTGAGTCCTGTTTGCTTTTAATTTAATCCTCCGGGTCTTTTTAATATCACTTTCTCTCCAAGCTGTGTGTTTAATTATAATTATAAATTAATTCTAATTTTGGCTGCCTTAGACATCTGTGTAAACACGGGAGGAGAAATTACTTGAAGCATGAATGTGCAACAAGCATGGCTTCGTGCCTTTCTCCCTTCTCGAGGTGACTAATTGACTCCGTGGGATTTATATCTGCATGCGGAGTCACCCTTCCGGCACCGAGCCCATGGGCCTGCTCTGGCTGCCATGAAGGCGCCTGCATTGAGACATGGGTTCAAATGCTGTGTGCCGTCCACCCAGACACTATAAAAAATAAAACTGTGATGTGCTTCTCTCTCCGTCTGAGCGAACTGCCGGTGTCTATATTGAGAAGCTTGAGATATTCAGCAACTGAGGCTATTACTGGTTTTAAACATCAAACAAGGATATTTATTTATACAAAGTCCTTGCAGACTTGACACAGTTCATCAAAGTTGCAAACAAACAGTCAATAGATGAAACCACAGAGATATTGTATTGTCGAAGGCTTTCATGGCTGGAATCACTAGGTTCTTGTGGGTTTTTTCGGGCTATAGAGCCATGTTCTAGAGGCATTTCTCCTGACGTTTCGCCTGCATCTATGGCAAGCATCTTCAGAGGTTTGAGGTCTGTTGGAAGTAGGAAAAATGGGTTTATATATCTGTGGAATGGCTGGGGTGGGGCAAGGAGCTCTTCCCTGCTGCAGTTAGGTGTGAATGTTTGGCTGATCACCTTCATTAGCATTTGAAGGCCTGCCTGAGCCTGGGAAAATCTGTTGCTGGGAGGTGTTAATCCACAAGCATGTGGACAATTTCAACAGAAAGGAAGAGACCATGAAAATGAACAAAATCTGGCTACCAGTATTAAAAAACTCTAAAATTATAACAGCTAAACAACAGAGAGGAAAAAACCAGGCACAGATTAACACCTCCCAGCAACAGATTTTCCCAGGCTCAGGCAGGCCTTCAAATGCTAATGAAGGTGATCAGCCAAACATTCACACCTAACTGCAGCAGGGAAGAGCTCCTTGCCCCACCCCAGCCATTCCACAGATATATAAACCCATTTTTCCTACTTCCAACAGACCTCAAACCTCTGAGGATGCTTGCCATAGATGCAGGCGAAACGTCAGGAGAAATGCCTCTAGAACATGGCTCTATAGCCCGAAAAAACCCACAAGAGATATTCTTTCTTTCCTTCAGTTACAGAGGTAACTTTTTCTCCAGATGGCAGATAAGATCCTGGAATCTTTTCACCCTAACCCTAAGCTGTTATGGTTAGAAAAAAAAGCAGGTTTTTTCCCTATCTCTAGCTTAAGGTTAGTTCTGGAGACAAAGCAGTGAAGACTCTCTCTCTCTATAACTATATAACTCAATCTTCTCAATTAAGCTCTTCTATCTATGATGTCTCAATATAGCTCAACACACAATATACTATCTATATTAACTCAGTATAGCTTAATACACTTCTTTATAGCTTAATATCTTAATATACAATATACAAGACACAATATATAATGTATAGCTTAATACTCAATATATAATCCAGCACTTTTTAACCCGTCCCCATCATTGGCCCGGCCTGTTTTTAATGAGTAATAGTGTAATGTTTTTGTCATTGCTTATGTTTTAATTTTTGCTTTGTATTGGATTGTTATTGTTTGCTGTTGTTGTGTTGAGGCCTTGGCCTTTGTAAGCCGCAACAAGTCCTTCCGGAGATGCTAGCGGGGTACAAATAAATAAATAAATCAATCAATAAATAAATAATAATAATAATGTATAGTTTTTGCAATGGTTTTCCCAGAGCTACCTGCCTAACCATCAGCACGTCTGAAGTCTTTCCTCTAAACTGAAAAGGCAGGGGAGATTTCAAAATGGAGACCTCTTCCCTGGGGAAAAGGCGGTCCCTAGACCCAAAGGGATACCTTTCTGAATCAATAGCTGCAAAGGAGGCCTGCAGAATGGCTTGGCAGACTCTGATACTATTAACCTTTAGGGCTCTTGCAAAGCTGCAGCAACCCTGGGTGAAAATGCAAGAGGGAGCAACCTCCAGCAACTGTAGAGTAAGGCAAATCAGGCTCCTGGGAGACGGAACATGCTGAATGGTGTAAGCTGGCACTTAAGGGGCATCTCCACTGTGGAGTGAAAGCAGTTTGATCCTACTTGCACCACCCTGGATCCATGCAGAGGGATCCTGGGAGTTGGCGTTTGGTGAGGCCACAGCACCCTCTGAATGGGAAGGCTCCACACATTGTAAAACTGCCAGCCTCATAGCATTGAAAAAGATCTTGGAGTCCTTGTGGACAACAAGTTAAACATGAGCCAGGAATGTGATGTGGCGGCAAAAAAAGCCAATGGGATGTTGGCCTGCATCAAGAGGAGCCTAGTGTCTAGATCTAGGGAAGTCCTGCTCCCCATGCTCTATTCCGCCTTGGTTAGACCACTTTACCTGGAATATTGTGTCCAATTCTGGGCACCACAATTCAAGAGAGATATTGACCTAAGCTGGAATGTGTCCAGAGGAGGGCGACTAAAATGATCAAGGGTCTGGAGAACAAGCCCTATGAGGAGCGGCTTAAGAGCTGGGCATGTTTAGCCTGAAGAAGAGAAGGCTGCAAGGAGATATGATAGCCATGCACAAATATGTGAGAGGAAGTCACAGGGAGGAGGGAGCAAGCTTGTTTACTGCTTCCCTGGAGACTAGGACGCAGAACAATGGCTTCAAACTACAAGAGGAGATTCCATCTGAACATGAGGAAGAACTTCCTGACTGTGAGAGCCTTTCAGCAGTGGAACTCTCTGCCCCGGAGTGTGGTGGAGGCTCCTTCTTTGGAAGCTTTTAAACAGAGGCTGGATGGCCATCTGTCAGGGGTGATTTGAATGCAATATTCCTGCTTCTTGGCAGAGGGGTGGACTGGATGGGCCCAGGAGGGCTCTTCCCACTCTAGGATTCTATGATTCTATGATTGAGTCATGGGGATTAAAGTTCAATCAAACTGCATTAATTCTGCAGTGTAGAGGCACACTTACTCCTTGGGAGGACCTGACTGGACTCAAGGCTGCACCTGGCCAAGCAGAACTATTGGACTGGTGCCGCACGGTCCAGTTCTGGCTGTCCATTGGCCCTTTGGGTTGGAGTGCCAGGCTGTTGGCTTTAGCAGTTCCTTTGGTGATGTAAGAGCTCCCATGTCACCAGAGGGGCTTCTGGGGGGCGTGTTTCCTGCTGCTCTGGAGGCACAAGGGAGCCACGGGCTCCAACTGCAGGGAAAGAGATCCCCCCTGAACATGAGGAAGGACTCCCCGGCAGTAAGAAGAGTTGTTCAACAGTAGATGCCTCTGGGTGGGCATCTGTTGGGAGGGCTTTGATATCATAGAATCATAGAATCAAAGAGTTGGAAGAGACCTCATGGGCCATCCAGTCCAACCCCATTCTGCCAAGAAGCAGGAAAATTGCATTCAAATCACCCCTGACAGATGGCCATCCAGCCTCTGTTTAAAAGCTTCCAATGAAGGAGCCTCCACCACCCGCCATGGCAGAGAGTTCCACTGCTGAACAGCTCTCACAGTCAGGAAGTTTTTCCTAATGTTGAGGAGGAATCTCCTTTCCTGTAGTTTTAAGTCATTGTTCCATTGTGTCGCAAGATCGCGCGGATCATAATTCCTCTCTCTCCTCTTCCTTCCTCTCTCTCATTCCCAACAATTGAGCTTCCACTCTCCAATCTTCCCTCCCTCTCCTCTCTCCTTCTTTCCTCTCCTCCTCTCACCGCCACGTTCAAACCCAACGACATAGTCCACCGACAGAGAAACGGCGAGGCGATCCGAAGCCAGACCTCTCCCCCACTACATCGATTCGCTCCCTCCCACAATCACCTCATCTAGCTCCCCTCTCTTCCCGTTCACCTTCCGCTACTAATTTTTCAACTCAGCTACATCCCATTTGCCCTTTGGCTACAATGGACCACCGGAAAACTACCACTATCATAGCGAAGACCTCTCTCGCCCATAACAGACAACACAGGAGAAGAAAAGAAGCGCGGACTGGCTCGCCTTCGTGGCGGTCCTGACAAAGAGCCATTCAGCCATCAAGAGAGATAGAGATAGAGAGGTAGAGAGATAGAGAGATAGATAGATAGATAGATAGATAGAGAGAGAGAGAGAGAGAGAGAGAGATAGGTAGGTAGGTAGGTAGATAGATAGATAGATAGATAGATGGCTGTGATTCACACACAGAGAGATATAGTATCATAGATTTGAAAGGGACCCTTAAAGAAGGACAATGATATCTTGAATGTTCCCGAGTAGGCAAACCAGACTCTCTCCACATCAACACTGACAAAAAAACAGCAAGAAATACTGTTTACCCACAAGCAGAAAGACATTACATATATTAGAAACCAACACTTTCTCATTACTTTATTTTCCAGATCAACAGACTGGGCCACAGCAACGCCTGGCAGGGGACAGCTAGTAAATAAATAAAATATGTGAATTTGTGTCCCGGCATTGAATGTTTGCCGTGTATATGCTGTGCTCCGCCCTGAGTCCCCTTCGGGGTAAGAAGGGCGGAATATAAATGTTTTAAATAAATAAATTAAATAAATAAATAGATAGATAGATAGATATTCCTGCCTGGCCAAAGGCAGCCAGACAGTGGGCCCAAGGGGTCTTTACCAGCGGCCGAGCGGCTTTGCCCTCTCCTTCCTGCCCGAGGCTCCCCAATGGGGCCAGCCCACCCGTTCCCTTGCGCCCCCCCCTCTCCCCGGACCCTCCGTACCGTGAGGTCTTTCTCTATTTCCTCGTACAGAGCGGACAGCTTCTCCTCCCGGCCGTCCAGGGCGGTGCTGGCCTCGTGGTGACGCTTCTGCCAGTTGTCAAAGTAGCCCGGCTCCAGGGTCCGGTAGGCCACCGCCAGTGTCCGGAGGCCCTCCCCTGCAAACTCCTAGGGAGACGAGGGCCAAGAGGGCAGGGGTCGGCCACTGGACAGATGGATGGCCGTAGCTCCAGCCAAGAGGCCCCGGCCCAAGAACTGCCCCCTGGAGCAGTGGTTCTCAACCTCCCTAATGCTGCGACCCCTTAATACAGTTCCTCATGTGGTGGTGACCCCCAATCAGCAAATTATTTTCATGACAACTACACAACTATAATTTTGCTACAGTTATGAATCATAATGTAAATATCTGATATGCGGGATGTATTTTCATTCACTGGACCAAATTTGGCACAAATACCCAATACACCCAAATTTGAACACTGGTGGCATTGGGTGAGGGATCAATTTTGTCATTTGGGAGTTGCAGTTGCTGGGATTTATAGTTCACCTACAATCAAAGAGCATTCCGAACTCCACCAATGATGGAATTGAGCCAAACTTGACTCACAGAACTCCCATGACCAAGAGAAAATACTGGAAGGGATTGATGGGCATTGACCTTGAGTTTGGGAGTTGTAGTTCACCTACATCCCGAGAGCACTGTGGACTCAAACAATAATGAATCTGGACCAAATTTGGCATGACAATCAATATGCCCAAATGTGAACTCTGCTGGAGTTTGGGGGAAATAGACCTTGACATTGGGAGTTGTAGTTACTGGGATTTATAGTTCACCTAGAATCAAAGAGCATTCTGAACCCCACCAAGGTTATAATTGGGCCAAACTTCCCACACAGAACCCCCATGACCAACAGAAAATACTGTGTCTTTGGTGACCCCTCTGACACCCCCTCGTGACCCCTCCAGGGGTCCCGACCCCCAGGTTGAGAAACACTGCCCTGGAGGGTTTGGGTCAGTAGAGGGGTCATCCCCCATGCATATAGGGAGGAATCGGGGGCCCCAAAGGTCAGTGGTGGAGACATCAAGGTGAGACAGGGAGGCTCCACTTACATCCAGGTGGTTGGTGGTCTTCTCCATCATGGATGCAGAGGAAGGGTGCAGGAGTTCAAACAGAATGGTGTCCGCACCTTTGCAGTAGAGGGTCAGCTTGCCTTTGGGGCAGCGTACTGGGAAGAGGAAAGGCATGGAGGGAGGGATGGAGGGATGGCCCAGGCCAGAGAAGGCCCAGCAAGGAGCAATGGTCAGTGAAAGGGATCTGCGGGCATTCCTGTCTTTGCCCCACTCACCCAAAGGGCCACCGTCCCTCTCCCCCTCAACGTAACCGCAGGGACGGATCTTCTCCCACCAAACTCAGCCACAGCCACAGCTCTTTGGCAGGATTCCTGTCCAAAGGGACCCCCCCTCCCCGCTTTTCCACATCCAAGGAAGCGGACAGCACCACAGGCACCAACGGCAGCTTTCTCTCACATCAATAAGCATGCACCTTGGCACAGATAGCATTGTGGACGCACACGCACCAATGACGGACATCCTTTTGCGCACGCTGTTGAAGTCCAGGATGGCCAGCAGCTCGTAGACCAGCGTCTTGCCCATCTCCACCACCGTGATGGTCTCTGGGGTCCGGGCGCGGAAGACGAAGCCAAAGTTCCTGGCGGCCGTGACCAGGGCCCCTTCGTCCGGAGACTGGGCCTGGTAGACCAGCTCCCCTGCGTCACAAGAGGGAGGGACACTGCCTCACTGGCCGCAGGGCCGCATTGCCCCCTCCCCACCTGGCTGGCAGACCAGGCTGACCGCTGACCTTTCCTCTTCTCCTCGGGCATGACCGTGTGGCAGAGGGACAGCAGGCGGAAGAACTGGTGAGTGGCCGGGTCGCCCTGCCTGACCGCCTCCACCAGGCTGTGGTCGTAGAAGGTGAACTTGGGGTCGGCCAGCGGGTTGAACGAGAAGTCCACTTTGGAGGAACTCTGCAAGGGCCAAGGATTCGTGTCACGCCCCAAAGCTCTCATCGTCCCTCCACCTTTCGCTTCCCTTTGACTGGAGACCAAAGGTGGGCCTGGCTCCCAGAGGGTCCAAACACATCATCATCATCATCATCATCATTTAATTACTTATTAATCACCCTCCATCCAAGATGCTCTAGGCAATTTACAAGCTAAATTGTAAAGGATAAAAATACATACATACAGATATTGATAAAATTAACATAGATCAAAAGCTCTAGCAAAAAGCCAGGTCTTAAGTGGGTTGTTGTAGTTTTTTCGAGCTGTATGGCCATGTTCTAGAGGCATTTTCTCCTGATGTTTCGCCTGCATCAATGGCAAGCATCCTCAGAGGGAGTGAGGTCTGTTGGAACTAGGAAAAAGGGTTTATATATCTGTGGAATGATATCCAGGGTGGGACAAAGGACTCTTGTCTGCTGGAGCTGGGTGTGAATGTTTCAACTGACCACCTTGATTAGCATATAATGTCTTGACAGTGCCTAGAGCAAACTTTTGTTGAGAGGTGATTAGACACAAGTATGTGGACAATTTCAACAGACAAGAGTCCTTTGTCCCACCCTGGTCATTCCACAGATATATAAACCCCCTTTTCCTAGTTCCAACAGACCTCACTACCTCTGAGGATGCTTGCCATAGATGCAGGCGAAACGTCAGGAGAAATGCCTCTAGAACATGGCCATATAGCCCAAAAAAACCTACAACAACCGAGTGATTCCAACCATGAAAGCCTTCGACAATACAGGTCTTAAGTCCTAGGGTAAAAGGCCCTAACACAGAGGGCGCAGGTCAAATGAGAGCCACTGGGCCTAAGAGTTCCCATATTAAAATACATTTTAATGTGTCTCTTTTATAGAAATGCATTTCAATATGTAAATTTGTGGAATTTTTGTAATGTTTGTGTGCTTTAATTATGCTGTAACCTGCCTCGAACCACAAGGAGAGGTGAATTATTATTATTATTATTATTATTATTATTATTATTATTATTATTATTGGAGAGGCAGAATGTCTCCCTCAAAACATGGGAGAGAACTTGGGAGTGAGGACTTGGGGAAAACTCACTTCCTGCAAAAGAACAGGATGGTTGGAAATTGGTTCTGCATCTTGGCAAAGATACGCTGGATTTCCCCGCCAGGCTCAGGGCTGCTCTGGCAAACACGGCAAGAACCAGGATTCAGATAATCCCAAATCTTCCATCTCAACGTGTAAGTCATTAGTGTTGTCCATGTTTTTTTTAAAATTTTAATTGCTTGTATTGTTGTTATTATTGCTTGTATTGTTGTATTGTGGGCTCGGCCTCATGTAAGCCGCACCGAGCCCCTTGGGGAGATGGTAGCGGGGTGCAAATAAAGTGTTGTTGTTGTTGTTGTTGTTATTATTATTATTATTATCAAGAACCCTGGTGTGGATATTTTGGGTGTTTATGCTGAAACCCGGGTGGACCTGGGCTGTCACACACATAGCTTTCTAACGCAACGGATGGCCACCACATCCCAGCAGATACTCCTGTCCTATTTTGCTTCTCCAGGAACAGTGCTGAGCTGCTAATGTTACATTTGATGTCATTCACCAGAAGACGGCGTAGAGCCAGCATGGGCAAACTTGGGCCCTCCCTCCTTCCAGGTGTTTTGGACTTCAACTCCCACCATTCCTCACAGCCTCAGGCCCCTTCCTTTTCCTTTTTCCTTTCCTTTTCTGCTTAAGCGGCTGAGGAGGAAAAGGAAAGGATGCGAGGATGTGAGGAACGGTGGGAGTTGCAGTCCAAAACACCTGGAGGGAGGGAGGACCCAAGTTTGCCCATGCCTGGCTGAGAGTCATAGAATCCTAGAATTGGAAGAGACTTGGTGGGCCATCCTCCAGTCCAACCCATTCTGACAAGAAGCAGGAAAAATGCATTCAAAGCACCCCTGACAGATGGCCATCCAGTTTCTGTTTGACAGACTCCAAAGAAGGAGCCTCCACCACACTCCGGGGCAGAGAGTTCCACTGCTGAACAGCTCTCAGTCAGAAAGTTCTTCCTAATCTCCTTTCTTGTAGTTTGAAGCCATTGTTCCATTGCGTCCTAGTCTCCAAGGAAGCAGAAAACAAGCTTGCTCCCTCTTTCCTATGACTTCCCCTCACATATTTATACATGGCCCTCATCATATCTCCTCTCAGCCTTCTCTTCTTCAGGCCAAACATGCCCAGCTCTTTTAGCCGCTCCTCATAGGGCTTGTTCTCCAGACCCTTGATCATTTGAGTCGCCCTCCTCTGGATACATTCCAGCTTAGGGTCAATCTCTCTCTTGAATGGTGGTGCCCAGAATTGGACACAATATTCCAGGTAAAGTGGTCTAACCAAAGTGGAATAGAGCATGGGGAGCATGACTTCTCTAGATCTAGACACTAGGCTCCTCTTGATGCAGGACAACATCCCATTGGCTTTTTTTGCCGCCGCATCACCTTGTTGGCTCATAGAATCATAGAATCCTAGAGTTGGAAGAGACCTCATGGGCCATCCAGTTCAACCCCATTCTGCCAAGAAGCAGGAATATTGCATTAAAATTATGTTTAACATGTTGTCTTTTTCACACGTACTGCTCTCGAGCCACGCGTCCCCATTCTGTATTTTTGCATTAAAGTGTTTTGGAAAACTGGCTGTATTTTGTGTGGTGTGGCGGAATACATTCTCTGTTATTTAGAACCCAGGAGTGCCTTTGCGTTTTCCATTCTGCACTGTTGTTTTTGTCAAAGCAAACAGATGAACGGTTCCATTGACCCTTGCCCTTGTGGCCTCACCTCCGTGATCTCCACCCGGTGTCCCTCGGCGTTCACATAGTCCCCTGAGGGAGGGAGAAGAGAAGCGCAAGTGAATGCCTCCCTCTTTGCGCATGGAAATACAGGTTGCTTACCTGTAACCGTAGTTTCCCCAGCGGTCGCCTGTGAATTTGCACATAGGGTAGTTTCTGCACCTGAGCAGACAGCTTTGGAACCTTCTAGATAGTTCTTTTCACCCGAAGCTGTCTGCCCAGGCGCTACCATATGTGCAATTCACAGTTGACCGTGATGGAAAACCTATTTGCATGAGGTGCATCCCGTCGCATGTGCCCAGCCCCGGCATCAAGGGAGGGCGCCCCTTACCACCCTGGCCCTGGCCCCTGGGGCCCCTGGGGCCCCTCACCGTAGACGACCCCCCTGATGCAGCACTTGTTGAAGACCATGATGTTCTGGGTGAGGGTCCCGGTCTTGTCGGAGAAGATGTACTTGATCTGGCCCAGCTCCTCGTTGAGGGTGGTGGTCCGGGCCTGGGCCGGCATGTCGCTGGGCCCGTAGTACATCTTGCGGTCCCAGTCGATGTAGAAGCTGTTGCCCAGGCGGATGATCTCCACGCTGGACCCAGGAGGAAGAAGAAGAAGAAGAAGGTCAAGGGAGTGGGTGAGGGGAACTCCCCCGGGAAAGACCACCCTGCTTGCAAGAAAAGAAAGGTCGCCAAGGCCAAAGAAGGCAGAATGGGGAGCTGCCATTGGGCTGAGCCACACCATTTTTGTTCTGGGGTTATAAATGTCATTACTTCCAAATTGGTTCTATCATAAAAATATGGGAAAAGTTTATTAAACAGCAAGAACGTTGTCTTTCTGGGAGGGAGAGAGGGACATCCTCCAATAGTACATTTTGGTCTAGTTTCTCAATGAATACCTCACCCAAGGGTCTCCACCCATTCAAACTAGTTTGCGGCAGCCACAAAAACAACCAAGTTTCTGGAGTAGAACAACCACTTTCAAAGGAAGCAATGCACAATTAAACAAGAAATAACACTTTCCAACCAGGAACAGAATTTTGTTACACAGAGAAGTTGTGGTGCAGGGCGTCCCCCACCGCCATTCTTGCCTCAGGGGGGCTTCTTCCTCCCAGAATCCCCCCTTGGGTGGCGGGAAAGTTTCCCGCCGCTCGGCCAGGTAGCCAATGGCCAGCTGACCACGCCTCACTTTCAGAGAGACTGGAGCTGGCATCCCCCTGGTGAAGGCAGCTGATCCATCCCACCCACCCTGCATGCAGTTTTTGTTTTCATCAGCAGTCAACTTTCGTTGTTGTTTACCTTGTTCTGGTTACCTGTTAACAGTTACTTCTTTGTTTTATGCTTCTTGTCACAACCCCTTGCTGGCGTGGGGCATGGGCCCTGGATCTGGTTTGGTATCCCCCCTCGCGGAAAGGGGGGACGGCCGCTGGCCCCAGTGGTGGCGAGTTGCGTTCGCCCGGTATTGTGCCGGCGGCACCCTGGCGTGTGCAGAATCTGGCAGTATTGGGCTGCCCGATTGTGATCCAGGACCCATGCTTGGCCGCCAACCCTTGTTCCTGTTATCAATAAATGAGTTGTGGCCATTGTTCATCCCACATCATGTGTGAGTGTACTTCTTGGGTTGGCTGTGGGAGGTGTATCGCACTTGCACACGCAAAAGATGTGTCATGCAGCTCCTTTGGGGCAAGCGCATGCACCAGGAGGCTGGGGAAGAGTTGGGCCCCCCAGTGATGCCCATGCCATGGCTGTCTTTCCCAGCACCAGGGCTTCTCAGAGAGGAGGGAGGGGCCTGGGCCCCGAGCCCTCTTGGCCCCCTGCCCTTCTCCTGGCCTTGTGAAGCTGCAAGGATGGAGCCTTACCCCAATGAGGTCACAGGTCACAGGGAAGAGGAGCCTGGCAAAGACAGGCTTGGGCCCCTCTGGCCAGTGCAACGCTGCCCCCTTCCCGACACACATACATGCTCAGAGGGCACCCTTGAACCTCAGGCCAAGGATGGGGGGAAGCCCTGGCCCAAGAACCTCAGGCCAAGGATGGGATCCCCCCAAGGACAGGTGGAAGGCAGCTCTGGCCCTGGGGCACCATCACCTTTCTGCAGCCATCCATAGACGGACACCTGGGACTTCTGGGCAACCTCATGGGAGGCAGGTGGCGTACCAGAAAGAGAACTGAATGTGCAACTGGCCTCCGGAGCAAGGCAAGCATGGAGTGTCCCTAAAGGAGATCATGGCATGGCTCACGGAGGGAACCACGAGTGTCCACAGGGGGCCATCTTGCCCAAACCTGCGCACGCCCAATATAATAATAATAATAATAATAATAATAATAATAATAATAATATTTTATTTATACCCCGCCACCATCTCCCCAAGGGACTGGGAGTGGCTTACATGAGGTCAAGCCTTACAACACATCATAGAATCATAGAATCATAGAATCCTAGAATCCAAGAGTTGGAAGAGACCTTCTGGGCCTTCATTCAGTCCAACCCCATTCTGCCAAGAAGCAGGAATATTGCATTCTAAGCACCCCTGACAGATGGCCATCCAGCCTCTGCTTAAAAGCTTCCAAAGAAGGAGCCTCCACCACACTCTGGGGCAGAGAGTTCCACTGCTGAACGGCTCTCACAGTCAGGAAGTTCTTCCTCATGTTCAGATGGAATCTCCTCTCTTGTACTTTGAAGCCATTGTTCCCTTGCGTCCTAATCTCCAAGGAAGCAGAAAGGAAGCTTGCTCCCTCCTCCTCCTCCCTGTGGCTTCCTCTCACATATTGATACATCAAAAACAACAAGCAATAATAAAAACAAGCAATAAGCAAAAATAAACAATACAGTTAATTTAACTCACAGGTAGGCAATAACACAAGAATGTAAAAACCTATGGCTGGGCCAGATGTAAGAGTTAAAACTTTAAAAATAAATCAGTGCTGGACATGAACAGAGGATGCGTCTAGTAGGAAGGAGGGTTTTAAACAAAAAGTACAGAACAACCCAATGGGTCATTAAAGTGCTTCTCAGGGTATTTTGCAGGGGATTATTCCCTTTAATATGGGGCCTCCCCCCCCCCCCGGTCTCTCTTTGGCCACTGCCTGTCCCTCGGACCCTCAGGGCCGTGGCGCTGCTGCTCACCTGACGTAGAGGGAGATGGGCACCAGGGTGTTGAGGATGATGACGTAGGACCAGAAGATGAGGAAGGCGGAGAAGAAGGAGGAGCGGACCTCGTCGGCCCAGGGCAGGAAGACCTGGAAGTAGTAGCCCTTGTAGTACTCCCAGGCGCTGTGGCCCAGGGCCAGCACCAGGCACATGACCGCCAGGATGGCAAAGATCTGCCCAGGGAGGGAGGGAGGGAGGAAAGACAGAGCGGAGGTCAGCAAATCCCTCGCGGTCTGGACACACCTGGGAAGCACCGGCAGCCTAGGCAGGCACCGGGCAGAGAACGGGGCAAAAAGGTAGCTCAAATGGACCAGGGAAACTTCTTAAGAGTGGGCGGGGGCTACCGCCAAAAATGTTTAATAACTCTCCAGAAGGTTCCGAAAGCTGTTCTGCGCAGGCGCAGGAATTACCATATGTGCGAGTCACAGTTGACCACGATGGGAAAAGATACATTTAGATGTACGGTGTGTAGATCAGGCATGGGCAAACTGATCCTCCCTCTAGGTCAGTGTTTCTCAACCGGGGGGGGGGGGGGGGGTCGTGAGGGGGTTTCAGAGGGGTAGCCAAAGACCATCAGAAAACACATATTTCTGATGGTCTTAGTAACCCTTTTGGCAGAGAAGGCTGAAGATCTCTCTGTCCTCATCCTTTTTGGTGTTGGTGAGAGACAACTCCCAGAATTCAAAAACAGCCCCCCCCCCAACCCCACCAGTAGTTAATGTTAGCCATGTCAATAATTGGTGCAGATCCATTTGTTGGTGGAGTTCAGAATGCTCTTTGATTGTAGGTAACTATAAATCCCAGCAACTACAACTCCCAAATGTCAAGGTCTATTTTCCCCAAACTCCATGTGTTTACATTGGAGAATTCGTGCCAAGTTTGGTCCAGGTCCATCATTGTTTGAGTCCACAGTTCTCTCTGGATGTAAGTGAACTACAACTCCCAAACTCAAGATCAATGCCCAACAAACCCTTCCAGTACTTTCTCTTGGTCTTGGGAGTTCTGTGTGCCAAATTTGGCTCAGTTTCTTTGCTGGTGGAGTTCAGAATGCTCTTTGATTATAAATCCAAGCAACTACAACTCCCAAATGACAAAATGAATCCCTCCAACCCCACCAGTTTTCAAATTTGGGCATATTGGCTATTTGTGTCAAATTTGGTCCAGTGAATGAAAATACATCCTGCATATCAGATATTTACATTACGATTCATAACAGCAGCAAAATGACAGTGATGAAGTAGCAACGAAACTAATGGTTGGGGGTCACCATAACATGAGGAAGCATATTAAGGGGTCGGGGCATTAGGAAGGTTGAGAACCACTGCTCTAGGTGTTTTGGACTCCAACTCCCACTTAAGCAGCTGAGGGGGAAAAGAAAAGTGCCTGAGGCTGTTAGGAATGGTGGGAGTTGGAGTCCAAAACACCTGGAATGTTGAAGTTTGCCCATGCATGGTGTAGGTGAGCCCAAACCCTTGGTTCCTGCAGCAGAATGCCTTCTGTCTCATGCGCCTTCCTTCCACCCTTGACTTGTGGCCAACTGGCAGGTGAAGAAGTCAAGGGCGCTTCCTCCCACAAGACGGGCCGGATCCAGAAACACTTCGTTCAGGAACTCTACTTGAACAGAGAGGCAAGTTCTCACCCCAATTTGGGAAAGGGAGCCAGGCCCATGGGACTCACCAGCAGCACTAAGAAGTTCATCAGGCGGTCGATGCACGTCCTTTTGAGGGTGGTCTTCCCGCTGTTCTGCATTAGCTTGGTGTCTGGCCCTGGAGATCAAAGAAGCCAAGGAGGAGCAGCATGAGTTGTGGTGATTTAACTCACAGATCAAAGCCCTTCACGCTCCAACGCAAGAAAGATACAAATCAAAGCCCTTCACGCTCCCCGCACTTGCTCCTCACCAATTTCCCATCTTGTCCAGCACCTCAGGCCCCTAAGAGCTGTGACAAGAGGGACATGCACTGGGAAAGGGACACTTGGGGCCAGAAGCCATTGTCAACATTGTTATTGTCATAGTCCACTTAATTACCCAAAGGTTTGGTCCCACATCCACGTTTTTAACTTTTTTTCTAACAGTGAGGAGGATGAAGATGACCTAACTTCCCCGGGGAATGGGTTCCACCACTGAGAAGGCCCTGACCTTCGTCCCCACCAAGCGTGTATGAGACAGAGGCGGGGCCGAGAGCAGGGCCTCCCCAGCCGATTGTAAACTCCAAGGTGGGACGTAGAAGAAGATACATTCGGACAGGTTCACTGGACCGGAGCCGTATAGGGTTTTATAGGTCAAAACCTGCACATTGAATTGTGCTTGGAATTGGATCGGCAGCCAGTGCCTATTAAGAGTGCTTATGCCCAGCCAAAACTAGACGTTCTGTTTGTTTATTGGCCCAAGCCTGTTGTTCTCTGTCCCAAGGCTAGATCTAGAGCAGCGGTTCCCAACCTGTGGGCCTCCAGGTGCTTTGGACTTCAACTTCCAAACAACTGGTAAGCCGGCTGGGATTTCTGGGAGTTGAAGTCCAAAACACCCAGAGGGGGTTGCCCTGCTCCCCTGCCCCCAGAGGTTCTCACTCCCACCACCCCACCTTGACTCCGAGTCCGGCCCCACCTGCGAAGATGACCAGGCCGAAGCACCAGTCGGTGTTGCGGATGGTGCAGCCCCGCAGCAGCATCCTCTCGTTGTCCAGGGCATACTTCTGCCTCTTGAAGACCAGCGTCCCTGAGAACCGGTCCAACTTGTGGTTGGGGGCTTCGCACCTGACCTCACCTGCAGAGTAAGACAAACTGTGAACGGGGTCCCCTCCCTTTTGCGATCCTCCCGCTCCCTTGGTGATTCTGCCCTGCTAGGCAGGCCTGGGCCAACTTGGGCCCTCCCACAATGCCTAACAGCAATTCCTTGAAGTCCAAAACACCTGGAAGGAGGGCCCAAGAGGCTCCTTTGGAGACAGGTGCAGGTGTGAAGAGATAAGAAGAGAGCAAGCCAAGCCCTGCTGGCCCTTGGAGCCCATACCGTCGGTCTCCAGAGTCTGGGGTTCCCCCACCCCTCAGCAGACCCTTGCCGGTGGTCTCCCACCCAAGAACTGCCCTGGGAGTCCCCTGCTTATCAGCAGGCAAAGAAGGGTTGCTCTGCCCTGGACATACCCGCCCGGGGAGGGAGGGAGGAAGGAAGGAAGGAAGGAAGGAAGGAAGCGCCGCGTTGGCCCACCTCAGAGCGACGGCTGAGTGGAGCGGAGTGAGGCAGGAAAGGGCTCAGAAGAGAGGCAGAGAGTGCAAAAGGTCTGTGAAAAGAAAGGAGGAATGGGGCATGGAGGGGGAAAGAGAGAGAGAGATGCAGACAGGCAGAGAAAGAGAGCAGTCACAGAGTCCAATGCACAGCCCCCTCCGGCAGGTGAGCCCAGGCACCGCTTACCAGGTGAGAGGAAGCCTGGGCACACCTGCCTTCACTAGGGATGGAGCATATGTGTCCATGGCATAAAACCTCCATCCCACACTGGTGGGCATGCCAAGTGCTCATCAATTACTATTTATTATTTATTTAAAACACTGATACCTAGTAGGCTTGGGTAACCACGGAAAAATTTGGTTCTAAACTTGTTTCGTTTTTAGGGGGCCCTTGCGTTTCGTTTTTTTTAAAGAATTCCAAAATTTTCCTTTAAAAAAGTTCGAAATATACGAAATTTCGTAAAATTACGAATCGATTCGTTAATGGTGGACGCGATTGTGCAATATGCTAAAAAACCCTAAATGGGACAGGGGGAACTTCTGAAGCTTCCCTCTCCCTCTGTTGTTGACTGTTGGTGTGATATTTATAATTTTTTTCACTGATAAACAAACAACAACTATAAAACTTGCACCAGACATACGGAAATAATTACGAAACAAATTCGAAACAATTTTGAACCAATTACGAAACAATTACGAAACAATACGAAATAAATTGGAAAAAAATTGTTTCGATTTTTAATTACTCCTCACAGTAGTCCTGCATGGCTCAATATTGGATCGTAAGCTACCTTTCGGACCGCATCTTGGCCTATGAGCCCACGAGGGCCTTGAGATCGTCTGGGGAGGCCCTTCTCTCGATCCCGCCTGCCTCACAGGCACGTCTGGCGGGGACGAGAGATAGGGCCTCTCGGTGGTGGCCCCCCGGCTGTGGAACACCCTCCCTGCAGACATCAGACAGGCGCCCTCCCTTATGGCTTTCCGTAAGAGCCTAAAGACCTGGCTATTCGAGAAGGCATTTAAATGAGTGCTACATTAACTGGTAATGACATTTGGAACAGAATATGGATTATGAGATTGACTATGATGATTCCTTGTTGTGACGGTGCGGATTAGTTAGTGTAATTTAGATTAATATGTAATATGGTTATGTTGATGTTTGTGTGCTTTATTGTAAACTGTTTTTATATGTTGTACACCGCCGCGAGTCGCCCCAGGGCTGAGAGCGGCGGTCAACAAATGCAGCAAATAAATAAATAAATAAATAATTTAAATACGAATTAATAACGAATTACGAAATTAACGAACGAAACCGCCCAAGCCTAATACCTAGTCCTTCCCGACCTCCGCGGAGGGACTCAGAATGGCTTCCAAACAGGCCAGAATTCAATGCCAAACATAGTATAAAACAGGGGTCCTCAAACTTTTTAAACAGAGGGCCAGGTCACAGTCCCTCAAACCGTTGGAGGGCCGGATTAGAATGTGAAAGAAAACAACATTAATGAATTCCTATGCACACTGCGCATCTCTTATTTGTAGTGCAAAAAACCCCACTTTAAAACAATAGAAAAAGTGAAAAACAATAGTAACAAATATAAACTCATTAGTATTTCAATGGGAAGTGTGGAACTGCTTTTGGCTGATGAGATAGGGTTGTTGTTGTTGTTGTTGTGTGCTTTCAAGTCATTTCAGACTTAGGTTGACCCTGAGCGAGGGGCCGGGTAAATGACCTTGGAGGGCCGTATCTGGCCCCCGGGCCTTAGTTTGAGGACCTCTGGTATAAAATATAATAAATACTAGGCCTGGGTAACAACGGAAAAATTTGTTTCTAAAATCGATTTGTATTTGGTTTTTTGTGTTTCGTTATTTAAAATAATTACAAAATTTTCCTTTAAAAAAGTTCGATATTTACGAAATTTCGTAAATGTGAAAAAAAATTACAAAACATTAACGAATCGATTTCCGAAACAATAACGAATCGATTCGTTAATGGCGGACGCGACCGCGAAATACGCTAAAAAACCTCCAAAAATTTCTGAAGCTTCCCTCTCCCTCTGTTGTTGACTGTTGGTGTGATATTATAATTTTTTTTCACTAATTAAACAAAAAACAACCATAAAACTTGCCCCAGACATGCGGAAATAATAACGAAACGACCTCAAAACAATAACGAAACGAATACAATAACGAAATACGAAGCATTTACAAAACTATTTAAAAATTCGGTTTTTTTAAAAATTGCTCCAGAATGGTTCGTTATCGTTTTGTAATTGAAAAAATTAACGAATTATTAACGAATTACGAATTAACGAAACGAAACCGCCCAGCCCTAATAAATACATCCACAAAATAGTGAATAGTGAAAGGACCAAGGCAGAGACACCTCCAGCTCATCCCCTGTTTGGGTATCAGACAGCACGTCAACGACTTAAATCAAGACATAGTTTTCTTAGATCTACAGAGACACTCGCTGGAACACCCCAGCAAGCGAGAGTCCAAAAGTGGCAGGCCCAAACCCAGCACCTCAATCCATGGGTGATACCAGATGAGAGACTCCCCCTGGGCACACAGAAGACTGGGCGACTTGGAAGGCGCTGAACAGACTGCGCTCTGGCACCACGAGATGCAGAGCCAACCTCAAGAAATGGGGCTACAAAGTGGAATCCACGACATGCGAGTGCGGAGAAGAGCAAACCACTGACCACCTGCTGCAATGCAACCTGAGCCCTGCCACATGCACAATGGAGGACCTTCTTGTGGCAACACCAGAGGCACTCCAAGTGGCCAGATACTGGTCAAAGGACATTTAACCAACTACCAATTTTGCAAAATCTGTGGGGTTTTTTGGGGTTTTTTACCTGTGTGTTTGTTTTGTTCTGTTAGAATTGTAACACAATGGTATGGTTGCTGATGACACGATAAATAAAATAAATCCACAAAATTAAAATAAATCTAAATATGCATTAAGAACCCGCTCGCCAAATTAAGTTGCCAGAATTAAAATCGTCATCCAAAGCAGTCCAAGTCCGCTCCAGTAAATCTTGTCTTTCCCAGATTATGCAACACACGTACATACACAGATGCTTCTAAAGTGGGGACTACAGCCACACTGTCACATTAATGCAGTTTGACCCCGCTTCAACCGCCATGGCTCAATATATTGTCCAAGGCTTTCATGGCCGGAATCACTGGGTTGTGGTAGGTTTTTCGGGTTGAATGGCCATGTTCTAGACCAGTGGTTCTCAACCTGGGGTCCCCAGGTGTTTTGGCCTACAACTCCCATTAATCCTAGCCAGTTTACCAGCTGTTAGGATTTCTGGGAGTTGAAGGCCAAAAACACCCAGGTTGAGAACCACTGGTCTAGAACATGGGCCTACAACCCAAAAAACCTACCTCAACGCATGGCTCAATACCTTGCCAAGTGTATAGCTTGGCCAGTCCTTCTCTGGGTGCATCTCCATTGTAGACTGAAGTTGTGCTGATGGCCTTGGACTGCCTGAGGCTCAGTGCTGTGTAATCTGTTGGGCGGGTGGGCTTCATCACCAAGGACCCTCCCCATCAATGCACAGCAGAGCAACCCAGCAGCACCACCACACTAGAAGCCTGGTCAGTCGCAAGGCCGAGCAGGGTATAGGGTTACAGCCTGTGCTGGACGGGGTCGCACTCCCCTTGAAGGCTCAGGTTCGCAGCTTGGGTGTGACCCTGGATTCGTCGCTGAGCCTGGATCCCCAGGTCTCAGCGGTGGCCAGGGGAGCATTTGCACAGCTTAGGCTCGTGCGCCAGCTGCGCCCGTATCTTGGGAAGTCTGACTTGGCCACGGTGGTACACGCTCTGGTCACATCCCGCCTTGACTACTGCAACGCTCTCTACGTGGGGCTGCCCTTGAAGACGGCCCGGAAGCTTCAGCTAGTCCAGCGCACGGCAGCCATGTTACTAACAGGAGCAGGGCGCAGGGAGCATACAACGCCCCTGCTGTCCCAGCTCCACTGGCTGCCGATTTGCTACCGGGCCCAATTTAAGGTGCTGGTGTTATCCTACAAAGCCCTAAACGGTTCCGGCCCAAAATACCTTGCAGACCGCATCTCGGCCTACGAGCCCACGAGGACCTTGAGATCATCTGGGGAGGCCCTTCTCTCGGTCCCGCCTGCCTCACAGGCACGTCTGGCGGGGACGAGAGAGCGGGCCTTCTCGGTGGTGGCCCCCCGGCTTTGGAACTCCCTCCCTGCTGAAGTTAGACAGGCGCCCTCCCTTATGGCCTTTCGTAAGGGCCTGAAAACATGGCTCTTCGAGATGGCCTTCAACTGAGTGCTATGTTATTGGAAATGACGACCGGAATGGACTACGACTATGAGACCGATTATGACCCCTGATATGACGAAGCGGATTTTTAGTATAGTAGTTTATGTAGTAGTAGAATGTTGTGTATTGTTCGATCTATTGTAACTGTCTTTTCTATGTTGTTGTACACCGCCACGAGTCGCCCTAGGGCTGAGAGTGGCGGTTAATAAGTGCAAGTAATAAATAAATAAATAATAAGCCCAAAGT